AAAGGTTATCCAATAGTAAAATGGGTAAAAAATTTAAAAAATAAATGGATTAGTGTTTTAATTATACCAAAGTTTTTTAAATTATTCACAAATTTTCTTATATTTACATACTTTTAATTATAATTTTTGACCATTAAAAAACCTCATATATTGGTTGAAACTTCTTATTTACTTTTCCATATATGTATACATATATATGTAGAGAGAGAACGACAATCAAACGAAAACATAATTAAAATAATAAAATACGAAAATGATTAAATCACATGTGATTTTATATTATAGTCACATGCGATTATAGAAACAGTCAACCCAATGGATGAACGGGCGACTTGACCTAGGGGTGCTCATGGGTTGGGTTGATCGGGTTGAAGACATTTGAACAACCCAACTCAATGTTTGCGGTTTGAAAAATCTTAACCCAACCCCAACCAATCCAAACCAAAGTGCAACCAACCCAACCCAAACCGTACGGGTTGATCGGGTTGATACTTTAATATATTAAAATATTATTCTAACCTTGAATATGTTATTTATCTACTCATAATTTCTTTTTCATCATCAACCATTTGATATAAATTATTCATACTTCTTACGTATATTACATTCAATTAAATTTCTTAATTTACATATATATGTTCACTGTTACTGAACATATATACGAATGAGTTATATAGAGATGAGAAATAGTTATATATATATATATATATATATATGAAGAACTTACGTGATAGTGTAATTGTCTACTGTACATATCAATATAAACTCAACAATCATATTAAATCTAAGAAATGAAAGGATATCGGGTTGGGTTGAGTTCAAATAATATCAACCCAATACCTACGGTTTGAGAATTTCACAACTCGATTAGACATCGGGTTGCTTCGGGTTGAATTATTTCGCATTGGGTTGGTTGGGTTTTTGAGCACCCCTAACTTGACCATGGACGAACCTTATGTGGTGGCATGGGTGGCACGTGCCACCGTATTATTTCGCCGCCGAAGGGTAAAAAATTTAGGTTTGTTAACGGTGCTACCGTATCGTTTTAGAAGGTGCTACCGTATTTCCCTAAAATCCAAATGGTGCAACTAAAACCCAAACAAAACAAAGCCCAAATAACCAAAACCATACTTTTTGTAATTATTTTTGGGTATATATTGACCATTTTCAAAAGATGAAGACGCGTAGAGTACAAGTTTAGGAGTTGTTTATCGGTATTTAGGTCTGTAAACGAACCAAACGAACACGAACGGAGGCTTGTTCATGTTCGTTCGTTTAACTTAACCGAACAAACAAACGAAACATGAATGGTAAACGAACGAAAATCTTTGTGTTCGTGTTCATTCGTTTAGAAATAATGTGTGTTCGTGTTCGTTTATGTTCGTTCCTAAACATGCTAAACAAACGTAAACGAACGAAATTCTTTGTGTACGTGTTCGTTCATTTAGAAATAAGGTGTGTTCGTGTTCGTTTATGTTCGTTCCTAAACATGCTAAACAAACGTAAACGAATGGGCTAAACGAACATAAATAAATATTATTTGAATTCAAAGTAAATAAATAAAAGATAATATATTAAACTTAATATATAAACAAACATAAACGAACGAATATAAACGAACATAAACAAACGGTAAATGAACGAACAAGACTCTTGTTCATGTTCGTTCGTTTAACTAAACGAACAAAAAAATAGTTCATGTTCGTTCATTTATTAAATAAACGAACTTCCCGCCGAAGTGTTCACGAACGGTTCGCTGAATGTTCGGTTCGTTTACAGCCCTATCGGTACTATAAAAACCATATTTTTTATAATTATTTTTAGATGTATATTATACTATATTAATTATATGGTGCCACCGTTTGAAAAAATTTCTGTGTCCGTCCCTGAACTTGACCCATAACCTAGTAGTCAAAATCGCGTGAATCGCATACGATTAGACACGAGATTCTAATATAAAATCACATGTAATTTGTTCATTATCATATCATTGTTCTCATTTAAATCCGATATATATATATATATATATATATATATTACATTATTATAGCAGAAACAAAATTTAGAAAGTATCGGAAATATTAACCAAAAAAAAGCCCTTCACATGGAGCATCTTATAGTAGTATCATATGTGACCCTTCCCTCTCTCTCTCCACAGACCCCCTGTACGCACCGTTTCTGTGTTTCAGCCTCCTCCTCTTCTTCTTCTTCTTCCTCTTCACTCCAAAACCTCATCTTCATCTCCATCTCCATCTCCATCTCCAATTCCAAATTCAAATCCACTCATGGGTCCTCATGATTCTTCCATTTCCGCCGCCGCCGGAAGCACTTCCTCCTCCTCCTCCGCTTGTTCCACCTCCACAAAGCCGCCTCAACCGCCTGATCAGATGGACCACCTCCTCGCCGGCGCCGGCTACAAGGTCCGCTCAAATGACCTCCACCAAGTCGCTGAGCGTCTTCAACGCTTAGAAACCGTCATGGTGAAGTCCTCTCCAGTCGAGATCTCAGAGCTTGTAAACGACGCCGTTCATTACAACCCCACTGACCTCGCCTCCTGGGTTGACTCATTACTTACCGAATTGAACACCAACCCGCCCCTATCCGTACCCGTACCCACGGATCTATCGGATCCAAATGCGTTTCCGGCGAATATCAACATGTACGCCAACCATGCGCCTCAGGTGCACGGTGAATTCTCCCAACAAGTCGTCGCACCGTTCGAGGAAGACGTTAGTATCCAGTTAGTACACGTGTTGATGACGTGTGCGGAGGCTGTCCAACGTGGCGACCTCTCATTGGCAGGCTTGTTGATCGACGATCTACAAGCTTTACTCGGACGTGTAAACAGCGGATGTGGCATCGGAAAAGTCGGCAGCTTCTTCGTCGACGCCCTCAGCCGCCGTATCGTTAACTCGCCGGAAAACGCCGTTCACGCCGACTTATCGGCTTACGAGAATGAGATTTTATACCACCATTACTATGAAGCCTGTCCTTATTTAAAGTTCGCTCATTTCACGGCTAATCAAGCCATCTTAGAAGCATTTGACGGTCAAGATTGTGTCCACGTCATCGACTTCAACTTAATGCAGGGCTTACAATGGCCGGCTTTGATTCAAGCCTTGGCTCTTCGGCCTGGTGGACCGCCATTACTCCGGCTCACCGGTATAGGTCCCCCATCCCCTGATGGACGTGACTCGCTTCGAGAGATCGGGCTCAAGCTAGCAGAATTGGCCAGATCTGTCAACGTGCGTTTCGCCTTCCGAGGCGTTGCGGCTTCACGTCTTGACGACGTGAAACCGTGGATGTTGCAAGTCAGCCCGAAAGAGGCTATTGCAGTAAATTCAATAATGCAACTACATCGGCTATTGGGCCCGAATAGTTCTCGTGGGCCACCCATTGATTTGGTCCTTGATTGGATTCGAGATTTGAATCCAAGAATTCTGATGGTTGTGGAACAGGAGTCGAACCACAACCAACCTGAATTCTTGGACCGGTTCACTGAAGCCTTATACTATTACTCCACAATGTTTGACTCGTTAGACGTATGCACGGCTCAGCCCGAAAAGGCCCTAGCCGAATTATACATACAAAGAGAGATATGTAATGTGGTTTGTTGTGAAGGGCCGGTTCGTGTTGAGAGGCACGAGCCATTGGTCAGATGGAGGGATCGACTGATAAACGCTGGATTTGCACCGTTACACCTAGGGTCCAACGCGTTCAAACAAGCTCGTATGCTATTGACTCTGTTTTCGGCCGAAGGGTATTCTGTAGAAGAAAATGAAGGATGCTTGACCTTAGGATGGCATAGTCGACCCCTTATTGCCGCCTCGGCTTGGCAAGCGATTCCCAAGCCGAGCACGACAATTGGGCCTATAAACCATCCTTAATAATGTAATAATGTGTTACATGTATGAAGTTAAAATTAGTGGTGCAAATTCAAAATCTTCCATATATCTTTTTCACCTTTTTATTTTGGTTGCCATCATTTTAGATAAACAATACATGATACATATACACACACACACATATATATATATATATATATATATATATATATATATACATAGGTGGAGGTTCAAACGAGAACCCCTGTGATTTACGAAAACGCGAGAACAACTCAATAACCACAAACTTTTTTAATTAATAAATTAACTTTTATTATATATAAATAATTTAATAAGGGCAGTAATGTAATTAAGTAATTTTTATAATTTTTATTTTATTTTAATTAACCATGTTTATCTTCACGTTTC